GTGAATTAAGGAGATATCTACCCCAAGCATGTGAAAATTTTCCCCAGTTAATTAGGTGGATGAGAACAATTTGTTCCAACAGCCATGAAGGTGGCTGAAGCAGACACCGTGGAGTGCTTAGAGCTTGGTCAGACATTGAAGGTGGCAGTTTCATTCACTGTATCCAGAGCCATATCCAGCTGTCTTGACTTCTGTCCTACCACTGGACTCCAATGACTCAAGAAGAGAAAGTGAGGCTGACAACTTTGTGCAACTCTGCTTCACTTAAGTCCAATTCATGTGCAAGTCAAGACATCACCCATGATGTGATTAGTCCTCTTCAAAAACAGAGGACAGATGGGGCAGCTAGGCGGCTTAGTGGATAGAGTGCCGGCCTTGGATTCAGGAGGTCCTGAGTTCAAATCCGGCCTCAGACACATAACACTTACTAGCTGTGTGACCCTGGGCAAGTCACTTAACCCCATTGCCTAGCCTAAAAAAAAACAAAGGACAAATAATAAAAATTGTATAGGAAGAAATGATCAATATAAGGAATTCAGAGAAATGACGAAGATTTGTAAGAAATGAAGCAGAACAAAGTACGTAGAACAAAGCAAAAGAACAATATACCCAATGATACAATAAGACAAATGAAAAGATCATCAAAAGAAAACTGAACTCTTAGTAATGGAAAAACCAGTAAAGGTCCTAGACGAGAAATAATGAAACATACTCTATCTCTCACAGCACAGAGGTAGAGTACAACTACCATAGATTATTATATACATTGTCAGACAAGGTTTCTCTGTACCAGATGCTTTTGCTTAATTGTTCTTTGTCACAATATAGGGTTCATACTAGAGTATAGGTGGGTGAATGTGGAATGACTTCAATGTAAAGGCCAAAAACATAAATTTTGTAATACGTTACAACTACCAAGAAGCTAAAAGGTCCACCTCATTCTTTACAATGCCACATTTAAAGCTGGTTATCCCTGCTGAATTCACAAGCTACAAATGCTCTGGGGCAACAGATCTCATTTGGTTGGCCCACTCTTCTCTTAATTTGCAATGCTCCACAGAATAGGAAGTTTCCCAGAAAATGTCCTAGAGTTCAAGATGATAGGTACAGTAAGAAATAGAAATTAGCAGCTATTAAAAGAGCACTACTGGGGGTGGAGCCAAGATGGTGGAGTAAAAGCAGTGACTTCCTTGAGCTCTCCCCCAAACCCCTCCAAATACCTATAAAAATGGCTCTAAACAAATTCTAGAGCAGCAGAACCCACAAAAAGACAGAGTGAAACAAATTTCCAGCCCAAGACAACCTGGTTGATGGGAAAGATCTGTTGTGCTGGGCTGGAAGAGGAGCACAGTTCAGAGTGGGCCATGCAGGCAAAGACAGAGCAGGCCTCAAGAGACTGAATCACAGGCAGCTATAGCAGTTTCCAGACTTCTCAACCCACAAATGCCAAAGAAAACTTAGAAGTTCAGAAGGAAAGCTCTGTAGGACCTTGGTGAGAGAGAAGTGTGGTCCTGCCCCAGTCCTGGTGCAGCCCCAGGGTGGAGGCTGATTCTGGAGTTCTTGGCCCATCAAGTGACTGATCAGAGGCGGGTTGCAGGGATCTCTTTACTGGTCCTGAGGCAGGATTCTCTTGCTTTGCCCTTGCTTGGATCTGGGTCACAGTTCCGGTGGGCAGTCCTGGGGCATGGAAGAACATTGGTGTGGTGAAGCTTGTGGTGGCAGTGGAGAGGGAATTCTCCTCACAGTTCAAAGGCAGAAAAGAGTGCTTGTGGTTAATCACAGATCAGAGCACAGGCCAGAAAAGGAGTAAATACCTCTCCTTTGATCATACGATCTTGGAAGAACTGAAAATTTACAGGTCCCTAGAACGACTTTGAAAACAGCTGCACAAAACCCCTGAAGCTTGGGACAGTACGTTCTCTACACTGGAAGCAGACCCCTACCTTAACAAAGAGTTTATAACTCAAGTAATTGGCTGGGATCATGACCAAACCTCAAAAAAAAAAAGTCAGACCACAGAATCTTTCTTTGATGACAAAGAAGATCAAAACCAGAAGACAACAAAGTCAAAGCTCCTACCTTCAAGGCCTCCAAGAAAAATATGAATTGGTCCCAGGCCATGGAAGAGCTCAGAAAGGATTTTGAGAAGCAAGTATGAGAAGTAGAGGAAAAATTGGGAAGAGAAATGAGAGTGATGCAAGAAAATCATGAAAAACAAGCCAATAGCTTGCTAAAGGATACCCCAAAAATAGTGAAGAAAATAACAGAAGAAAAAAATAGACTAACCCAAATGGCAAAAGAGGTCCAAAAAGCCTATAAGAAGAAGAATGCCTTAAAAAGCAGAATTGGCCAAATGGAAAAGGAGGTCCAAAAGCTCACTGAGAAAAATAATTCCTTAAAAGTTAGAATGGAGCAAATGGGAGCTAATTACTCTTATAAAACAAAACCAAAAGAATGGAAAATAGAAGGCAACGTGACATATCTCATTGGAAATACAACTGACTTGGAAAACAGATCCAGGATAACTTAAAAATTATTGTACTACCTAAGAGCGATGATCAAAAAAAAGAGCCTATACATCATTTTTCAAGAAATTATTAAGGAAAACTGCCCTGATATTCTTGAACCAGAGGGCAAAATAGTCCCTAAAAGAATTCAACGATCACCTCCTGAAAGAGATCCCAAAAGGAAAACTCCCAGGAATATTATAGCCAAATTCCAGAGTTCCCAGGTCAAGGAGAAAATATTGCAAGCAGCCAGAAAGAAATAGTTCAACTATTGTGGAAACACAATCAGGATAACACAAGATTTAGCAGCTTCTACATTAAGAGATTGGAGGGCTTGGAATATGATATTCTGGAGATCAAAGGAATTAGGATTAAAACCAAGAATCACCTAACCAGCAAAACAGTGTAATCAATAAGGGGAAAAAATTGATTTTCAATGATGTAGAGGAATTTAATGTATTCTTGAGAAGTCAGAGCTAAATAGAAAAATTGACTTGCAAATACAAGAATCAAGAGAAGCATGAAAAGGTAAACAGGAAAGAGAAATCATAAGGGATTCATTAAAGTGGACTGTTTACATTCCCACATGGAAAGATAATATTTATAACTCATGAGACCTACTATTAGAGTAGTAAGAAGGAATATATACACATACATACATACACATGTGTGTGTGTGTGTACGTGTGTGTGTTTGTGCATATATGTGTGTATATTTAGATATAGATATAGATAAATAGATAGAGAGCGCAGGGCGAGTTGAATATGAAGGGGATGATTCTTGAACGTACTGGGAGAAGAAGAAAGGGAGAGGTAAAATGGGGTAAATTATCTCACATAAAAGAGGCAAGAAAAAGTTTTTACAGTGGAGGGGAAGTAGGGGGAGGTGAAAGGGAGTGAGTGAATCTTACTCTTACTGGATTTGGCTTAAGAAGGGGCAGCTAGGTGGTGCAGTGGATAGAGCACTGGCCTTGGATTCACGAGGACCTGAGGTCAAATTCGGCCTCAGACACATAACACTAACTAGCTGTGTGACCCTGGGCAAGTCACTTAACCCCATTGCCTAGCCCAAAAACAAAACAAAACAAAAAAAACAGAAAAAGAAGGGAATAACAAACACACTCAATTGGGTATGGAAATCTACCTTACCCTACAGGAAAATAAAGGGAAAGAGGATAAGAGAGGGGAGATTATAGAAGGGATGGTAGATTCCGGGAGGGAGTAATCAGAAGCAAATACTTTTGAGGAGGGACAGGGTCAAAGGAAAGAATAGAATAAATGGGGGTAGGGATAGGATGAAGGGAAATATAGTTTTTCACAACATGACAATTATGGAAGTGTTTTGCATGACTACACATCTATTACCTATATTGAGTTGCTTGCCTTCTCAGTGAGGGTGGGTGGGGAGGTAGGCAGAGAAAGAATTTGGAACTCAAAGTTTTAAAAATGAATGTTGATATTGTTTTTGCATGCTACTGGGAAATAAGATACAGGCAATGGGGTATAGAAATCTATCTTACCCTACAGGAAAATAGAAGGGGAAGGGGATAAGAGAATGGGGGGTGATAGAAGAGAGGGCAGACTGGGAGAAAGGTAATCAGAATGGATGCTGTCATGGGGTCTGGGGAGGGGAGAGGTGAGGAGGAAAATCTTGTGGAAGTGAATGTTGAAAACTAAAAATAAATAAATTAATTTAAAAATAAATAAAAATTTAAATAAATAAAAAAGAGCACTACTATCCATATGGCCACTGATTGAGATAAAGGGATGAATGCAAGATACTTAGAGAGTTACCTCCTGCAGGGTAGAGATGCTATCAGCCACTACTCCTGTCCAGAATGTTAAGCTAATTTCATTTCTACAATCATCATGGGAGGGCTTTAATAATCACTCAGTTAATCAACAACCATCTTATGAATGTCCCAGGCTCTTGGCTAGGTGTTCATGCTGGGGATATTACTTCTATTCCACACCCCTTACTTGATGGAAATTGTACATCAGAGGGAAGATGGTATGATTCTGTCACATTGATGTGTTTTTTACAGAACTCTGAACACCATGGAATTCTGTCATAATAATATTTGGAATCTCTTCATTAAATCACTTGTGGGCTTATGTATCTCCTTCTGAGACTCACAAAATCTCAGGCACTTACACTAAGGAGAAACGTCATGTCCTTAGGAAGAACAGGAAGTCCCAAGTGAGTGAGCTTTGCTATGTGGCTCCAAAGAGTTGGAGTACTGCCATAAACTGCTTGGGTTGCAAGGGGCAGTGGGTAATGGACAGTTTTCCCTCATCCAGATTAGGCTAATTAGGTTTTATATAGCTCTGGTATCATCAAGGAAGAACTGAAGAAACAGAAAGTTGACTTTCAGTGGGCAATGTTGTGATAGCAATAAACTTAGCTCTAGTAATAAAAGTGAAGGCCCTAAAAACATGAAGGGCTATGGAGAACAAATCCTCAGCTTCTCAGTTGATCAGAGTGCAAACATACCTGTAAGCATGGACAAAGTGGTGGTCTTTCCTGCTCCATTATGTCCCAGAAGAACAGTGATCTGGCCCTCATATATGTTCAGAGTCAGGTTTCTTACTGCCTCTTTGATATTACTCCCCACCACAAATGCCTGTGGAAGAGGCAAAGAAAGAGTAACTTTGCACTCATTTTCCTCACTCTGAAGAACTTAATGGCAAGATTAAATATTCAAATCAACTATCCTTAGAACATATTCTATCATATATCACTAAGACCAAAGAGGAAATATTAAGGGGGTAGATTTTACTACTTTATGGAGTAAAATAGGATAGAGCTTATTTGTAAAGGAAAATGATTTAGAATTTATCAGTAAAGCTTAAAGTTATAAAGAGAAAACAGCATTTTTATTGCTTCCAGCATATAATGATGTAAAGCTTTAAGAAAGAGTCTCAGTGTCTACATGCAGGAAGAAGCAATACTGTTCTCATATTCTATATACAAATATATGTTGAAATATTACTACCTTTAAAGCACTAGGTTAGACATCTTGGTGACACAAAGAAGATGAAATCTCTGTCCTCAGACTTGGGAGATAAGACATATGAATATGGAAATATAATTTATAATACCAGGCTGCCTATGTAAATACTAAGTGAGTGCGATAGAAAAGAAGTACTACAGATCTTAAGGGGAAGGAGAGATAAGTAATATTAGAGGCAGACAGAACAGTGTGAGCAATGGTATACAGCTGAGAAAGTATTACATATGTTTGAGGTATACTGAATATACATATACACATACACACACAGACAGCCGCAACTAAGATCTCATGTACAGAAGAAGACATGGATGAAGCAGGAAATATGAGTCACAGTATACTATGTTCAGTGCCATGCTAAGATGCTTGTACTTTTTCTTGTAGGCTACCAACAGATGCTGTGTGTTAGAGTAAAATGATGACAGAATGTTTTAGTAAGATGAATATAACAGAAGCATGTTGGAAATCTAATAGCAATAAATAATAAAAGATTGTGAAAAAATTTGAGGGATGAAGCCTAAATTGTTAATTAAAAATTTTAAATTGTCCAAACTCTAATAATCAGAGAGAAAAGAAGTTTAAGGGGCCTTCTTATGCCCACTAAATTGGCAAAGAAAGGTTAAAGTGATAAAATTCAATTTAGGTGAGACTATAAACAGGTACCACATTTGATGGAACTATCAGTTAATTAAATCTTTCTGATCAAATTGACAATATATGATGAGTGACATAAGAGATCCTTGATCCCACTCAATATTCAAAGATAAATGATCTATGATCTTATTGATATAAATATTCCTTTTTTTCTTTTCTGAAATTATTATAAATTTTTCCAATGGGCAAAAATCTGCCTTTTCTACCTCCCCCATCACTCCCCTACACTGAGAGCAAAAGAAAAACAAACTCCTTGTTACAAATATTATACATACACATAAAGAAAAACAAATTTCTACATTTCCCATGTCCCCCCAAAAAAAGTCTCATTTTGCACTATGAATCCTTCACCTCTCTATCAGAAAATGGGTAGTATGTGTTTCAACATTAGTCCTCTATAGGAGTGGTTGGTCATTTACCCTAATCATAGCTCCTAATTATTTCAAAGTTTTTGTCTTTTTTTAATATTGCTGTCTTTGTAAAATTGTTCTCTTGGTTCTGTTTACTTTATTCTGTATCAGTTCATGTAAATATTCTCAGGTTTCTCTGAAACTATCCCCTTCATCACTTCTTACAGCACAAAGTTTCTACACAGCTTTAAGCTTTTCATCAGGAATGCTTGGAAGTCTTTTATTTCATTAAAAGTTAATTTTCCTCTATAGGATTATACTCAGTTTTGTTGGGTAAGTTATTCTTGGTTATAAGCCCATATCTATTGTCTTTTGGAATACTGTATTCCATTTTCTCTGCTTCTTTATAGTGGTGGTTGCTAAATCATTTGCAGTCATGACTGTGACTCCTCTGAAACGGAATTTGTTCTTTCTAGTAGCTTCTAGTATTTTTTTTTTTACCTGGAAACTCTGGATTTTGGATATAATGTTCTTGGGAATTTTCACTTTGAGGTTCAGGAGGTGACTGGTGGATTCCTTCTATTTCTACTTGGCTCTCTGGTTCTACAAGATCTGGACAGTTTTCTTTTAAGATTTCTTGATCTATGATGTCTAGAATCATTTTTTGGTCATGGCATAATTACAAACTGCTTTTCAAAATAGTTGTATCATGTCACAGTTCCATCATTAATGTATTGTTGTGCTTATCTTTTTATACCCCTTCAACAATGACTGTTGCCATTCCTTGGATACTAGACTTTTATCAAAGAAATTTGATGTAAAAGGTTTCCCATTTAATTGTTTGGGTGGATCTAACTGCATTTCATTTTGCTCACATAAAACATTTTCAAACATTTTATATAATCAAAACATACCACTTAATCTTTTGTGGTCATCTCTAGGAAAGCATTCTCCCCCAAGCCATCATTGTGAAAGAGCCAATTACTCAATAGATAAATGGTCAGATATTCAAGCTATCAATAACCACATGAAAAATGATCCAAATCATTAATAAGATGAATGCAAATTAAAGCAACTTTGAGATTTTGCTTCAGACCCATAAGATTGTCAGAAATGACAAATATGGAAAATGACAACTGTAGTTGGGTGGAAACCTATAGAGCTTATTCATCAGAATAAATAAAGATTTTTTTGTCTTGGACAGACACTGCCAATAGAAAATGAATTATGCTCACAATCAAAAAGAAGGGGGAGAGAGAAGAGGATTTCCTTTAAAAAATTTTAAATGCCCCCAAGTTTCTCCCTAAAGTAAATACTCATCCTTTTATTCTTCTGGTAATTGTTGTATGGCTCTCAGGTATAAGGCATTACAATTACCAAAGAACTGAAACTGAAGATCATTAAAAGGGAAGCACATAGTAGTCATGATAAGGAAAATCAGAGTAAAAGTAAGTCAGAAGATAAATTTATGAGCAAAGAACACATGGACTGGTCCCATGATTGGAACAAAATACAGCCTATGTGCTCCATCAGTATCCTTGTAATGTCAAGAGAAACTGAAGAAGGCAATGACTTCTGTTTTAGGTTATCATGAAAATTTCCAGCCAAACCTAGTTTTTTTTAGGAACACCTATTAACAGTAGGGAAAGCACCATATGAAATAGCACTGAACTATTCCATCCCATAAAGGAAAGTACAAGAAGACAGGACCTGAAGCAAAGGCCACTCCAGGTATCAAAGCCTCTGTGTAAGAATGGTGCCAAGTACTGGGGCTCTAGGTGTACCCTTAGGAGACTGACACATCTTTTGGGGATCTATGAGGGGGCAAGGAGATTCTTGGGAGCAGGATCATGTATTCTTCAGCACCTTTGTATTTTCAGTTTGTACCACTCTTCCCAAGGAATGCACCAGTACAGGGGAGATCATAACTTCTGGTTGGGGGGAAAGTATGTTTTTGTACTTCTGTCCTTGTTATACCTTCTCAGTAAATTTCCTTCTAGAAAGCTAGAAATTGTGAAGAAAAGCGATTTGGATGACGAGGAAAATGATGAGCTGTCTAAATAGAACTATGTTCATGTAGGGAGAACTTACTAACCAACTTGGATTTTAAGAAGACATATACAGGAGATGGAAGATGTATAAATCAAACTGTGGGCAGTGAGACTGCACTGCAGGTCCAAGGACACAACACAGGCTTACATCAAAACCCAATTATTAATTCTGTTCCCCCCTCCCTAGAAACTCTGGTTGCAGAAGTTTGCTTGGGTGTTGAACAGCCAGAACAGGCCCATTCTGTACCAAAAGTCTGCCGTGGGCTGCAACTTGAAAGCACCAGCGCTGCAAAGCTTTGAACGGCCATTGCTGGGAAAGCAGGCTCTGAATTGCTGGTGCCAAACCAGAGCACTAAGGAATAGAGGGAGCGGGACAGGTCACCAGGACACTAAGCCACTAAGCACATGAGGGCATGAGGCATTCCACTAAGCCTGAGGGAAGGGGCATATTATGCAGCTGGGGCCAGTTCTGACCACCCAAAAATCAGTTGGGGCAGAAACCTAGGTTGGCCCAGCCTAGAAGAAGGCTGGGATGCTGCAAGATCCAGCCCTCAAGGAAACCAGAATTAAAAGGGAGGAAGTCAGGAAGTGAGTGATAAAAGAAAATGAGGAGAAAGAGGGAGACTGAAATTACCGAAGATCTGAGGAAGAAGAAAACTCAAAGACTTCGAACACAAACAAAAAAATTAATGGGAAAAACAGTAACAACAGAAGGAAATATGGCCTCCAGATCTAGTAATGTTGCTGAGTAGTTTAGAAGAGAAATGAGAATTATGAAAGCAGAATTTATGTTCTGCCCAGCAAAAATAATGATCAGAATAGAAAAGCTTTACCAAAGAAACAAAAAAGAGAACAATAGATTGGGAATCTAAATACATAGAAGGACAACCTAAAAGAAAAGCAATAATCAAAAACATTAAAAGAAAATATGCTGGTTCTGCAAGCAAAACAAATAAAATAATATATGTGAAAGCTTTCTAAAATTGTAAAACATTAAGCAAATATAAGATCATAGAAAAGAATTAAGTGTTACATTTTAAGAAGAGGTCTGAGTCAAAGCAATCTCCTTCATTTTGCTACTGTTTAAGGAAGGAAAATGTTGACTACCTTAATACCTTAATCCTTCGATGGCTTTACTTCTTGACAAAAGTTAAATGACAATGTTTATATACTTCTTACTGCCTTTCTCCAAGAAAAGAGCAGACTGTATTAACTAACAACATTCTCACTCTGGGATGATCTGAAACTCTGAAATTGTGTGTGTATGCAAGCAATTCTTTCATATTGCAGTTTAATTTGCTTCTCCAGATGGTGGACTCTGGAAGTATAATAGAAACACAGATGAAGTTGTACTTTTAAATATTTGAATGTGGCCAAACAGGGGTTTGATCATATGAGATTCTGGAGAGCATCTCAGTTCTTTCAACTGTTGGCACATTCAGATGTTGTCATGACTAGAGAAATTAAACAGAAAAGTCTTATTTTTCCAGTAAGGAACAAGAAGCAACCAGTTTGCAAAGATTCAAATTAAGAGTTTACTAAAGTCTTACCATGGAACAACATGGTTATAACGGAATGTAAGCTTCTTGAGGGACCGTTTGATTTTTGATTTTGTTCCAAATGGATATGTGATCTCAATATAAAACATCTCATAATTTAAAAAAAGAGAATAGAAGATACCTCTTACAATTATGGTAAAGGGGAAAATTCTTATTAAAACAGAATGAAGATAATCGTAGATATTAAAAGAAACAATTTCAGTTATATAAAGAAAGCACTTGTGCAAACAAAATCAATGCAGCTATAATTAGAAGAGACGAACCTGAATGGGGAAAATCTGTAGTAAATATCTCTGAGGAAGATATTTTGATATTTATTTTGATTTTGATTTATTTTTATATTTAGTAAGATTTATTTTGATATTCAAAATAAAAAGGGAATGGACACAAATTAATAAGAATAAGAGTCAATGGTCAAAGATTATGACCAGGTAGTTTTCAAAAGAAAAGTGTAAACTATGAAAAAAGACTCCAAATCACTAATAACAGGAATGCAGATCAAAACAACACACATACAGCAGCCTGGCAAAGATGACAAAAGCCGAAGATGTAAAATGTTGGAGAGGCTATGAAGTGGTTCAAGTTTTCTGGAAAACTATTTGGAATCCCATGAAAAAACTACATACATTCCAAAAACTGGCATACATTCCAAAGAAGTCAAAGACAGAGGGAAAGGTTGTATATGTATAGAAATTATTTATAATAGCACTTTCTGTAGTAGCAAAGAATTGAGAAGAAAGTGAGTACCTATTAATTGGGAAATGACAGAAATGAAGTACTTAGAAAAACTTATGAAAACTGGTGAAAGAAAAAGTAAGCAGAACTAGGGGATTAACTTGAATAATGACTACAATAGCATAGAGGAAAACAACATTGAAAGGCTTTAGAATTCTTATCAGTTACTTGCCTAATCATGATTTTAGGGGACTGATAGAGAAGTATGCTCCATGCCTCTAAAGAGAGGTCAGTCAGTCAATAAACATTCATTAAGGGCCTACTATATGCCTGGCACTATGTTAAATACTGGGGATAAAATGAAAGGTAAAAGACGTTCCTTTCTCTTAAGGAGCTCACAATCTAATAAGGAAGACAACATGGAAATAACTATGTATAAGTAAGGTATGTATAGGGAAATTGGAAGAGATATGGTGGATTTGAGGTGCCCCCTATCCCAAATACATTTTTGGACATGGCCAATGTATTAATCTGTTTTGTTTAGCTATTGTTATTTGTTATAAATGTGGATTTTATTGCAATGCTGAGTGTATGTGTGGAAGGAGTGGATGCCAGTGGGAAGTGACAGTGATGGGAAAAAAAGAGCATAAATAAAATATTATTGAAAAGAAATATTGAATATATTTTAAAATCCAGTTAAAATTCCACATTTTCCATTAAGTTTTCCCTGATCACTCAGCTGTAATTTTCCTACTAGATACAGGGGTTTTTTAACCTGGGGTCTATTCATATATTTATTTTAAAAAATATATTTCAATAACTATCTCAATATAATTGTTTTCATCCTATGTATTTTGTTTTTTGTTCTTAAAAAACATTACCATTAGAAGGGGTCCATAGGTTTCACAGAACCTCCGCTATAAAATCTAGATGAAGTAACAGTTAGGTTAATTTTCTCTTATGTTCTTATCATACCTACAATCAATTAATTAAACAATATATGTTTATTGTTTGCCTATTGTATGGAATGCTACCTACTAGGTAGACTGGGGGAAATACCAAGAGATAAGACACAGGTGATGTTCTCAAGAAGCTTATAGTCTAGGAATGGTATGCAATTTTACAAAAGGTCATTACTAAGTTACAAAATAATGTGCTATGTTATATCTAAATGGAAAGGTTATTATTAATGCAAGTTGGGGAAAGTTTAGATAAAAATTCCCAGAGAGAAGGTTTTTGAATTATCTTTTAAAAATGAGGAAGGAGTTCAATAAGCAAAGGAGGATAGGGTGAGGAAGAACATTCATAGCATATAGAACCTGAGAAAAAACAGAAGAATGAGAGCACAATGTGTGCTTGGAGGACCAAGAGTTGTCCAGTTTGGTTGGAGTAAAGGTTGAGTGGGAGGGATTAAAGTATTCAGGGTGGGGACTTCAGTTGTAAAGATGGGTTCAAGCAAGAGAAGATGTAGAAAACTATTAGAAAATGTGTTTCATAGTCAATAAACAAAAATAGGCTAAAAGTTTATAGACTATTCAGAACCTTGACACCCATATTTCATGAACATTTTCTTCAAGAACAGTTGGGAGGAATGATGGAATAGACTAGATTTGGGAGAATTAGAAACAATGGAAACACGATACCCAATGTTCAATAAAGTGGAAAATATAAATTACTTGGTAAAGAACTCCTTATTTGATAAGAACTGTTGGGAAAACTGGAAAGCAGTTTGGCAGAAGTTAGACTTAGACCAATACCTTACCGTATTTTATGACATATTACAAATGGATACAATATCTTAATATTAAAATCTTAACAAAAAAACAATTACCAGTGAAGCAGATCATATACATTTTATAACTATGGGTAGGAGATATATCCTTAACTAAATAAATATTAGAGACAATTACAAAAGATAACATAAATAACTGATTACATGAACTGAAAAGCTTCCACACAAACAAAATTAATGCATCTAGGAAAAGGAGTTGAATGCGGAAAAAACCTTCAAATTTCTCTGATGTTTGTTATCTAAGCTATAAAATAACTGATATCTATCTGATATCTATCTATCTATCTATCTATCTATCTATCTATCTATCTATCTATCTTATCTATCTATCAAAAGCCATTTCCTAATAGAAAAGTGGTCAAAGGAAAAGAATTGTAAACTGTTGATAACGATATGAAAGAATTCTCCACATCATTAATAACAACAGAAATGCAAATCAAACAATGCTGAAGTTTTACTTCATACCACACAAAATGGCAAAGATGACAAAAAATATCAATAGTTAATGCTGGAGTAGTTGTGAGAAGATAGGTGCAGTAATACTTTGCTGGTAGAACTGTGAATTGGTACAACTATTTTGGAAAGTAATTTGGAATTATACAAATAAAGTGACTAAAATGTCCATATCCTTTGATCTGGAGATTTCATTCTTAGGCTCATATCCCAAAACACCCATTGATAAAAAGAACATCCCAATATAAACCAAAATATTTATGGTATTACTTTTTTGTTACAGCAAAGAACTGGAAAAAAAGCACATGCACATCAAATGAAGAATGGTAGTACGTGAATTTAATGAAAATATTATTATGCTATAAGAAATGGTAAATACAGAGGAGCATGGAAAGATATATATGAACTGATGCAGAATGAAATAATCAGACCCAAGAAAACAACATATTCAATATCTACAATAATGCAAATGGAAGAAAGTCACAAAAAAGTTAAAAGCAAATGCTGTGGAATTATATATTTTTTGATCCTCAGATAACAGAATCACAAAATTTGGATTCAAGCATCCTAGGCTATGATGTATTATGACAAGAAATAGCACTTAAGAAGACAAAAAAAATCAGACCAGCATTGAACTAGTCCATATGCATAGACTATGAATGGATAACATTCATGTTAGAAGCAACATAATCTTGAATGTATTGAGAAATTGTTTTATAAACTATCTCAGGGAGGGAAAGATATCAAAAGAATGGGAGAAATGTAGAATAGCAATATTCAAGAAAGAACATTTTTTAAAAATCTATTTGTATATTTACTTTCTCCTTATCAAATTTTTATCGCTAATGTGAAAATGTTTAAAATATGTTTAAACACATACTGAGGCTTTCCTTGATGAAACATGAGAAATGAAAAGGTAAGCTTCTGCAAATATTTTCTTTAGTAGACTACATACTTTCAGTCACACAGAAGATTCCACTTCATTTATTATTTATTATTCACTGATTTTGGAAAAAAGCATTACAAAAGCTTCTTAGTACAAATTGTAGCCTTAAAGGCTCTCCTCCAATGAGAAATCTTTCATGCATGTAAAATCCCTTAATAAATGAAACCAAGAAGCTCATTATTGATAACTCTCTGATAAATGACTTCGAGCAAGATATAAAACATGATGTTCATAAAAAGTACACCCAAAGACATATCCTTTATTGCCACAGAGGACTGCAGAAGTGGAAGAGGGACTCCATATATATGGTAAAATCCTCTATATGTTCTTGTTTCTCAATGAGATCTTTAATAGTTTGAAATAACATGTTTAGGAATGACAAAATGTATAAAAATGTCTACTGTTCAAACTTTGACAAGCAGCTGGATAACCAGTCCGTTTAGTTAGCCTATTAGTGCTTATATCTGGAACAGTACTGCAGATGGGCAGTGAGTTGGGCCCAGAACTGGATAGGAGAAAGAGAGAGAGTGAGATTGCATTTTGTTTTAATCTCAAATTTCAGAATCATTTACCTTTTTAATCTCTCCTAGTGTTTGAGATATTGCTTAATACATGAAGGCAAAATGAATATTTAATTGAGTTCTTGCCTTGGGGGGCAAATAGTAAATGGTAAACTAGGACTGGAACCAAGATATCCTCATTCTTGGTCCAGGGAACCATATACAACATTGCTTTTACAATAGCTGCAATACTTTCAGTTCCAGCTGGAAAAGAGATGTAGAAAAATCAAATACCTTGCATAGATGTTTGATCTGTACTCCAGCCACCAATCCTACAGGTTCTGCCTCCATATATTCATTATGTAAGATGTCTTCAGTGTCTATATGTCTCCTAGAAAGAGGTTTTGGGTACCCATACCAGTAGGAGCGCTAAGATAATAAAAACTGTATTACCAAGATAGGCAGTCAACAAACAATAGAATTGGAGGATTATAATAGCTGAAAACAATATGGCTCTGCTGGTTTTGTTGACTAAAATGAATAAAGCATCAGCTAACTCCTAGTTACTGAATTTCTGTAACAAAATGAGCTTATCAGACTTGTCTTCAAAACTCAATCCCAAAACTTCATTAAAATGCAAACTGTCAAAATGAAGCATCTTTAAAATTGGAGTCATGGCAAAAAAGGACAAAAAAAGGCAAGAGTACTGAATGCTATTGTATTGCTGAGTACGATCATGATTCTATGTAAGTCAAACAATTGGTATTCCATGTAGATCAAAGAGCATACATTCTTTCAGCTTCATCAATATCCTTAATGTTGAAGTTTTTATAATATATTCTTATTCATATCTTTAGAGAGTTGATGGAATTATTTTAAGGGGTTTATTCTTATCTCTCAGGATGTTACTGAAAATGTTAATGGAACAACACTATTCTTTATCACTGCAACTCTCTTTTAAAGACAAAGGACTTTATAATCCCAGTCTTTTTTATTCATCATATAACACTTGAAGGGGGATAATCACTCACAGTTAGGGTGGTTTGCATGCTATGATCACAGATAATATTTAATATTTTTTTTTTATCACATCTGACTATGGCAGTATGGTCATCTGACCATCTGATTCAATTGCAGACATGTTTAAACTGAATTCATTTGTGGATTAATCTAGGACAGAATCCAGAATCCAGGAGAGAGAAAAAAAATCTGATTACATAAGTTTTGTAGGATTTAGCTTTCAGATCAGGTCAACCATAGGTAGGAATAGGATTCTGATGATCACTTTTTTACCAACCAGAAAACAACAACAACAACAAACAAACAAAAAAACCTAAGGCTACTTATAATCTAAGGAACAGCTTCAGAACTCACCTGCAAGAAGAAATACCATGGTTGAGGCATACCATACTCCCCTGGAAAGACATTTTCCATATACCAAGCTACTAAAGCATAGCACAAAGAATCACACAGCATCATTCCCAGAACATGCCCAAAACTTAAGCTATCCTCAATGCTCACTTCATCCATGAGGTTATTCCAATGAACTCCATTCCCTGAAATATACAACAGGAGGCAGTTATTATGTAGACTAGGCTAAGCCTAATCAGATGTGTAGCCCCATCCCCAGAATATTCTCCTTAATGGAACATCAGCAAATAGTAATTTGTTTTGAAATTTAAATTTCAAAATAGCAATGAATTTCAGGACTGGACTCACTATTAGACACTAGAGTCTATGCACTGATTTTATGGTGAATGATAACGATTTACTCTGTGGAAATGGCCTTATCTAAGAGAAATGAATCTGTCATAAGCTAAAATTGTACCAGCTTTAATAAAGTCCAATTACTTAAAGGATAAATTAAGCAACAACCATTTATATTACTTACACGCAACAACGCTCCTTTGGCTACCACCATATTATCAAACTATACAAAAATGAATCACAGTCGAACAAGTGTTAGTTGTAGTCACCTAGTTTTTCATCAGCTGACCATGGCACAAGTCAAAACTTGGTGAGACCAAAAACTACATTTCAACAAACCTTGAAATGAAAATTCAGATTCTAGGTCAATAAATAAGGCCATAAGTTGATTTACAGGGTTTTATTAGGTTAGGATTATAAACCTAAGGAACAGAACTTAGAACACAAGGATTTTGTAATGCAGACAACTAAAAGGGGGCACTGGGGCAAATTCATTATCTCTAGCATCCAGTTTTTTAAAAAAATACTGCCTACATTGTTTTCAGTTTCTCCAAGTACTAGAATACTGCAGAACCATGGTGCAGGCTGTACTTTTAGGGAAGAACTAAGAGTAGAAATCACAGTTCAAAACATATGTGCTCTGGAAGGGGACATACAGAAAGTCTCAAAATGTGTTAGATGACGATAATGATGTCTTGCTGCTGGAATATAAAAATCTGAGGTTTAATGTAGGGTACTATTTTTTTTTATCCTGGAAAGAGTTTTTTAACCTTAAAATACTATAGAAATACACATAATTATCATCAGATTAGGAGTGGCATGCAGTGTAAACATAGTCAACAGAGGTATATTTTGAGCTTTAGAACAGTGAAGGCAGACATAACTTGGTGCCATAATACAACTTCTAGGTGGGTAGGGTAGCTGTTAAGGTCTGGGGGAGAATTCTGGCTGTCCACAGGGACAGTTTCTATTTTGAGGTTCCAAATTCAATGACCCTATCTTTGGGTCAAAAAGAAAGTACATGTATCTTGTCAGAATAAAAGCCTCAAGTCCCAAATCAATGATGCAGTTGAAGTTCCTATGAAAGGAAGAGGGAAGGGGAGGGAGGTTTGGGTTCCTATGGGGAAAAAAATCAAGGTACTGGTAATTGTGGTTCATCAACATGCTGATAAAAGTTCTTAATTCTTTCAAATCTGTTTGCCTTTACAATACTGTTGTCATTGTTTAAGTTGTTCTCCTGGTTCCAGTCACTTCACTCTAAACTGAGACCTGGGAAAGAACTTAGCTTAAAAAGGCCAAGGTCCCAATGCATCTGGGGCCATCTCCAGTTGTCCTGATCTATATCTTGCCACTGGACCCAGATGGCTGTGGAATAGTGAGGCTGGTGACTTTGCACAGCCCTCCTTCATTTAAATCCAATTCCAATTCAAAATCCAATACTTGCAAGTCAAGATATAGCCTTCCTGATGTCACTGGTCCTCTTTGAAAACGAAGGACAAACAACAGCAATCAGTTCATATAGGTCTCCCAGGTTTCTCTGCATCCTTCTCTATCATTTCAGCACATTTATGTACTAGAATTTATTCATGTATTCTCCAATTTATAGTATCCCCTCAGTTTCCCCTTCCTTGTTAACTCCAAAAGATCCATACTTTTATGCATTCTTAGAGTCTGCTTTGCTTAAGGCTAATTCATTCCTTAATCCACTCTCCTTCTAATTCCTCTTCCCTCTCCTCCCCTTTCCCTATTTACCTGTAGAGTGTTTCCATACCCAATTGTGTGAATGTATGTATTTTCTTCTTTCAACCAATTCAGATAAGAATGAGGTTCAAGTGTCAACCATTCCCAGAGATCGCCTTCATTTGTATAGATATCTACTTATACACCATGACCAAGACGATTTCCCTAACTTTCCTTCCTCCTCTCCCCTCATCCCCAGTGTATTCTTCCCCTCTTTTTCTATTCTTCTGTTATAACTATATAACTATAACTCCCCGGACTTATGTAACGAGACTCCATCTATGACTCTGATGATGATAGGGTTCAGATGGGACACATGTATCTTACTCTCCATATTTTAATGTAAGCAGTGTATTTATTTTTGTATAGCCCTTTATCACTGTTCATTCATGTTTACTTCTTTATGCTTCTTTTTACTCCTGTGTCAGAACATTTCTGCAGAGCTCTGCTCTTTTAGTTAGGAAGGCTTTGAAGTCTTCTATTTCATTAAAGATCTATTTCTTTCCCTGTAGTATTATACTGAGTTTTGCTGAGTAAGTTATTGTTGGCTGTAAGCCTATGTGTCCTTTGCCTTCTTGAATGATGTATTCTAAGTTCTCTGCTCGATAATATGGTAGCTGCTAAATCATGTGTGATCCTAACTGAGACTCCTTGGTACATGAATTCTTTCTTTTTGGCTGCTTGAAGTATTTTTTCTTTGAAAACTCTGGATTTAGTTATGACGTTTTAATTTGGGGGTTTCTTTCAGAGGTGATTTCTTTCTATTTTTACCTCTGTTTGACCTCTGTTTCTTTTCTTTCTTCTAATTTTATTAATTTTTTTATTTTTAGTTTTCAACATTCACTTCCACAAGATGAGTTCCAAATTTTCTCCCCATCTCGTCTCTCCACCACCCCAAGATGGCATGAATTCTGAATACCCCTTCACCTAACCTGCCCTCCCTTCTATCTCCCCCCCATCCTTCTCCTATCCCCTTCCCCTTTAATTTTCCTGTAGGGCAGGATATATTTTTATACCCCATTGCCTGTAAAACAATTTTTAACATTTGTTTTTAAAACTTTGGGTTCTAAATTTTCTCCCTTCCTCCCTTCCCACCCACCCTCAATGAGAAGGCAAAACACCTCCATAGTAGTCATGTTGTGAAAAACTATCTTTCCCTTAATCCTATCCCATCCCCCATTTATTGTATTCTCTGTTTTGACCCTGTCCCTGCTTGGAAGTGTTTGCTTCTGATTACCCCCTCCCCCAGTTGGCCCTCATCTCTATCATCTCCCTGTTCTCTTGTCCCCTTCCCCCCAATTTTCCTGTAGGGTAAGATAGATTTCCATACCCAATTGAGTAATTCCCTCCTTAAGCCAAATCCAATGATAATAAAATTCATTCATTCTGTCTCACCTTCCCCCACTTCCCCTCCACTGCAAAAGCCTTGTCTGTTTTATGTGAGAAAATTTACCCCATTCTACCTCTCCCTTTCTCCTTCTCCCAATATAATCCTCTCTCACCCCTTAATTTTACTCTCCAGATATCACCCTTCCATCTTCGACTCACCCTGTGCCTTCTGTTTATCTATCTATATATACATACATATAAATTTTCCCTCCAACTACCCTAATACTGACAAAGGTCTCGTGAGTTACAAATATTATCTTTCCATGCAGGAATGTAAACAGTTCAGCCTTAATAAGTCCCTTATGATTTCTCTTTCCTATTTACCTCTTTACGTTTCTCTTGAGTCTTGCATTTGAAAGTCAAATTTTCCATTCAGCTCTGGTCTTTTCATCAAGAACCCTTGAAAGTCCTCCATTTCACTGAATATCCATTTTTCCCTCGAAGGATTATACTCAGTTTTGCTGGGTGGGTGATTCTTTGTTGTAATCCTATCTCCTTTGACTTCCAGAATATTATATTCCAAGCCCTCCAGCTGCTAAATCTTGTGTTATCCTGATTGTGTTACCACAATACTTGAATTGTTTCTTTCTGGCTGCTTGCAATATTTTCTTCTTGACCTGGGAACTCTGGAATTTGACTACAATATTCCTAAGAGTTTTCTTTTGGGGATCTCTTTCAGGAGGTAATTGGTGGATTCTTTCAATTTCTATTTTACCCTCTGGTTCTAGAATATCAGGGAAGTTTTCCTTGGTAATTTCTTGAAAGATGATGTCTAGGCTCTTTTTTTGATCATGGTTTTCAGAGAGTGCAATAATTTTTAAATTATCTCTCCTGGATTTACTTTCCAGGTCAGTTTTTTCTCCAATGAGATATTTTACATTGTTTTCTTTTCTTTTCCATCCCTTTAGTTTTGTTGTACAATGTCTTGATTTCTCATAAAATCACCAGCTTCCAACTGCTTCATTCTAATTTTTAAGAAAGTATTTTCTTCAGTGAGCTTTTGGACCTCCTTTTCCATTTGTCCAGTTCTGCTTTTTAAGGCATTCTTCTCCTCATTGGCTTTTTGGACCTCTTTTGCCATTTGGGTTAGGTTATTTTTTAAGGTGTTATTTTCTTTAGTATTTTTTTGGGTCTCCTTTAGCAAGCCGTTGGCTTGTTTTTCATGATTTTCTTGTATCACTCTCATTTGTCTTCTCAGTTTTCCCTGTACTTCTCTTACTTGCTTTTCAAAATCCTTTTTGAGCTCTTCCATGGCCTGGGACCAATTCAAATTTTTCTTGGAGGCTTTGGATGTAGGAGCTTTGACTTTTGATTGCAGCCAATTACTTGAGTTATATACTCTTTGTTAAGGTAGGGGTCTGCTTCCAGTGTGGAGAATGTACTGTCCAAGCTTCAGGGGTTTTGAGCAGCTGTTTTCAGAGATACTTCTAGGGACTTGTAAATTTTCAGTTCTTCCAAGGTGGTAAGATCAAGGGTGAAGTATTTATTCCTTTCCTGGCCTGGGCTCTGGTCTATGAGTGACCGCAAGTGCTCTTTTCTGCCTTGGAATTTCACTGTCACTACAAGCTCCACCACAACAGCTCTCCTCCTCAACCTAGGACTACCACCCAGAACTGTGACTCAGATCCAAGCACAGGCAAAACAAGAGAAGCCTGCCTCAGCACCACCAAAGAGATTTCTTCAATTTCCCCTCTGATCAGCCACTTGATTCCCCTTCAGT